TCTTTCCCTCTCTCCTCTCCTCTCTCCGTTTCTCCCGAGTAAAAGTAACTTACCTGGCTTGATAACTAGCGCGCTGGGTCACGACACATTTTTTTCCCCCGAGCAAATTGCCACGCGAAACGAACGCGACGTTAAAGGATTCCTTAACGAATTACCGCGCCAGGCCGCGACCACTCGCCTTTCTTCCGCAACCGGATCAAAGCCAGCCAGAGCTCTGCTCCTCCGCGACTTTTGCTTACCCTACCGTCCTCTTAAACCTCGCGGTTACCAACGAGAATTTCGTCTCGTTACGAATTTTTTGGCACTTAAAGCGAGATTACTTCGTTACGACTACGTTGGCCGAGATATCTCGGTCCCTTCGTGGTATACGTATCTCTTTTGGAGAACCAACGGCGCACATTCGTCCGAGGAAAGTAGCACGCGCGATTATTCGAGCCTCGAGGAATGACGAGATTTCGTTCGCGTATCAAACTTCTCTCTCTTTCTCTCTCCCTCATCTCTCTGTCTGCAGAGATAATCGCATCGATGTTCTTACGGTATATCGTTCGGTCAGGTCGATATGCCTGGAACCAATTAAGGTCAAGATCGCGTAGAATCTATAACGCGGGGGTGCGTGCGTGTGCGTGCGCTTGTGACGCGCGCGAAGGGTGGATTAACGGTGTTACGGGATACTTGGCACTATATCAAGTCGGGAAACAAAGCTTTCCTGACATTTAGAAGCGATACACCGCGGAGATAATAGAATTCCCTTTGTTTCCGCGAAATTACGTTACATTTGCTTTCCTGAATTTCCCTTAAATGAAATTAATTACACCGACCGGACAATATAAATTTGCCCGCGTAAGCGTTGCGAAGACAGGTGTTCCCGGGCAATTCATAATCGCTTCTTTTATCCCGGCATCCGGGAATAATCCGCAAATTTTTCCTTCCGCGATTAAAAAATCGTTAACGCGTTGCCGCGTTATCAATGCTCCCGATTGCCCAGGGGTTAGTTGCAATTTTCACCGCGACGCAGCTTTTTCGTTCACGGCGTTGGATCGAGTCTCGATCGCGAACGATCGCGCACCGGAGAGTCAACCGGAGATATCGGGGGTAGCAGACCCAAAAACGGTTAATTAACCGAGTCCGGGGTTTCCCACGAATTCCAACTCTGTTTCCTCGCTTCGCGGAATCATCGCGGAACGTTACGTCCGATGTAAACTCCTAAATCCTCCGGCATCCCGTGTTTTCCCGATAAACCAGCTTATCCAGTTTTCCCTGAATAATTTCTTATCCCTGCCGACCCGAAAGACCAATTACCGACTCGTCGATCGCTTAATAGCAATTACGAGGATCTATTTACGTGCTCGTGGATGGGAACGATGAGGAAAAAGAGCCGTTGCCGTGCTTTGATCTTCTCTCGATTCCAGCTGAAACCGGCCGGTTGTCGGGCGGTTAATTAAATTTCAGTCGCGAAGGACGCGCGCCGCCAGAAACGAAATTGCCTTTCGTCATGAATTCGATCCGTTTTCGGACCCCACCCACACTCGCCACGCGCCCCTGCCACTGCATCGGTCCCCCGGACGGACGTTCAAGTTTCGCATGGTCCGCGTGCCGGAGATTCGTCGCTTTGCCCGCGCGCCACGCGACCAACTCGTTGCTCCGCTGGCTGCTGCGCGAAAATTCGCGTAACCTCCCGGACAAGACGCGGCTGAGTCGCTGAAAGGTGTGTACCAGGCCTGCTCTGTGTCTGGTCGCGCGTTCCCGCTGCCAGCCGAGTGAATAACCGAGCGACGGGACGTTCGTCTCTTTATGTAAATCGGTCGAATTCACGGCAAGCAATAAAATGTAAAGCAGAGAGCGGTAGGTGGGCCCCTTCGTCCTCGATGTCGTACCAACCGTACCTCCTCTTTTTCTTTCGCCAACCCCTCGTCGCCCTCCGCGTTTCCACCCTGCTGCACCTGGTACAAACTGGCAAGATAATGGCGCGGGGGAGGGTGCCGCAGGAACCGTGTCCGTGTGCAGCTCCCTCGTGCACTCGGTGCTCCTCGGATCCGACGCGACGCCATGCCACGCGACGCCACACCACGCCACGCGACGCCATGGCACGCGTCCTTTATACCTATCCACGTATAGCGACGCGACCTGCAACTCACCGTGTCACATCGTCGCGATCACCCGACCGGTTTATCGGCGCGGTTCCTTCTTTTGTCACGCCAGACCCGCACTTCCTTTTCCAAGGAATCGACCGAGTATGATCCCGCCAGGCTTTGCCAGTTACACATGGTCAACGACGCGTAGCCGGGCCTATGTAATATTACCAAGAATATACGCGTTGGTTAAAATGTTCAACCTGCTTTTTGTTCCAGCCAAGTGTACCATTACACGCGCCAGGAACACGCATCTGACCGCGAATTTATTCGTTCCTACCGTACCGTATACCACGCCTGTGTATTCCGATTATACGCGCGAGAACAGGGAAATTTCCGCTCGACTAAACCTCTCCGATAGACGCGGGAAAGTTGATTTTCGAGACTTTCTCGAAGAATCACCCTGTACAATCGCATTCCTCGCGCACGAGCCTTCCGAATATAGCCACGGCGAGCAGGCTGGATGGTTGAGATCCAGTTTTCCAGCACGTGGGCACAGGTTGAATTCAACCAACGCGTGTCGCGCACACGCAGGCGTCTAATGACCGGTACGAAAGGCACGAAGGAAAATCTTCCTTCGCGCCGGATGTCGCGGCCTCCTCGAGCTCTTTCCGCAGCCGCCATTTTTCTCATAACCGCGTGCCAAGCGTTTGCGTTTCGCGTTCGATTGAACATCGAACAGCCGCGATAGAGATTCGTCTTTTCGACCGAGTGTCCGCGAGTGTCCGCGAGTGTCCGCGACATAGGCGAATGAATAAACCGGCATTATTAGATTGCTCGTTTCGTCGGCGGAAAATCGGATTGGAGGACGTGCCGTGTTATTGGATTCGTTACAGGGGATTCAGTGGAGCGGTCGTCTGACCCTCTAAAAACTTTACGAGAGATCCAGCGTGTCGCTTTGCCCGGATTACCAGGCGATGCTTTCGCGAAAGTGATTTTTCGCAAGTGTCCGCGCGAGATAAGCGGGCAGGTTGGAGCGGCCTAGAACGTTGGCGGATAAGTCACGGCTATAAATCGGCGAGGAATCGGCCGTCGTCGCTTCCTCGCGTATGAATAACTTAAGAGAATCCATCGACCTTGACTCGCGGAGACGTTCAGAGGATTAGGAGATAAATCGTGCTGGAACGCCGGCGCGACCGCGGGGTCGATCGGTTCCTCCTCGCCGGCACTCGGCTTTATGAATCCTTAACGGGACCAATTTCGTGGAACAAAGCTCGGTCCCAGCGACGAGCCGAGGAAGGAAACAAGATTCACCGTTATCGTCGCGAACAGCTCGGTATCGAGTTAGGAAAATAATTGCAGCAGATGCGGCGAGAGCGGTACAAGGATCCGCGACTAATTGTCGC